AAAAAGTTAACTTTTGCATCTTAGCTTTAGCAGATTCCAAACGCAAGTAGACTCCAAACAGCTAAGGGCTCAACATGAGAAACCCTGTATGCAGCAATAATATTCTCTAGCACCCACAGGCTAAGAATCCCAACCTCTCCAAACAGCATACGATACCCACCACAGGCTTTCAGAGTGTTTTCAAGCCATATATTGAAAAAACACTGGCTGAGCTGAGTGAAAATGAGAAAAATAATGTCAATTCACTAGAGGTATAACAGTACTAAACGTATCTTAGAATTCATCAAGATAATGACAAAATCAGGATAAAGAAAGGAATTAATGCAGCTCAACAATATTCAGAAAATGAATACAATTCTTGTCAAAAAATGTAATATTCCAAAATCATTTTGTGATTGGTGGCATCAAATACAGCAAAATGGATTTCTATTTCAGATGCAGTTGATTCTTTTCCAAGAGCTCAGGTTCGTGGTGTTCCTCCAGTGCAGCAGATGTCTGCCCCCAGGCTCTGAAACACCTAACAAAACCACACAGGGAGCCGCTGGCCTCCTACTGCCTTGATGATGCAGTTTGGAAGATACACAAAATGAAAGAATTTTTAAAAACCTGTTATTGATTCAATCATTTACGTTCAAGTGAAACTGCTTCAGACACAGTCACACCAAAATATTTTGGAAAAAAGCCCTGCAATACTATGAAATAAGCAAGTCAAGATGAATTTTGTTAAAAGCAAGGGAGTCTTTTGTGGGTTGACACCTTGACACTGGAAGAGAAATAAAAGAGAATTCCATTACTCTCTTGTTAAATACACTATGTGTTAGTGCAGTAGATACTCCCTTCATTCCACATGCAAAATGCAATGTGTTTGGATAATTGCTAGTTAGGTCATAGAGTTCTGAAACCCTCTTATCCACAGGTGTAAGATTCTGAATAATATAATGTTTAGATGTTAAAGAAAACAGAAGCCTACACAGAAATTAACATGAAGAAGTAAAGACATTTCTTAGTTTTTACCTTTAAAAAGTTTAATATGAATATGATAATATTTGAGATGCAAAATACTAAAACAAACAAAAAAGACCTGAATAAAAGTCTTCCTTTAACTCTTAGGCATTTATTTCTCAAAAGGGTAAAGATAGAAATATCTCAGCATGAAAGACCTTTCCTTCCTGGAACTTTCATGATAAACCATATTATGAAAAGCTCCTAAAGAAGATATAAAAGGTTTAGCACTTTCATCTCATACTAAGATTTAAATAAATTGTTTATACTATAAATCTTATGTATATGTATACAGTCAGATAGCAAAATAACAATATTTACAAGTAAGGCAGCATGGCAAGGTGTTGCAGAGCATAGGTTCTAGACTAGCTTCTAGATTTAGACCACATATTTGAATCCTGATTCTAAGAGTTAATAAGTCTAACCTCTGGCAAATTCCTTAGCCTTTCTGGACTTCAGTTTCCTCAGTGACAAAACACAGGCAATAATTTTGAATACCATACAGGCTTATTCTGAGTATTAAATTAGCTAAAACAAAATGCTTAGAACAACGTCTGATGTGTCATAATGGCTAATGTTAGTTATTATTGTTACTTTGTATTAATTTTCTCATTTAATGATTACAATATATCTGTGAGGTAAGTTCTCTATGGGTGAGGCAAGTTAAGTAATTTTTCCAAGGTCCCATAGAAGTAAAGCAGAATTTGACAGCAGATCTATCATCCAGTTCCAGGTCTATGCTTTTACTTCTACCTAACACTTCACAAGTTCCCAAAGATCTCACTCCTATGTTGTAACATGTATCCTAATGTATATAAACTAACTTTGAACATATCTTCCACCCCTAGAGTAAGTATCTGAAGACAGAGACCATGCTGCTTAACCCCTCATTCGTTAGTCCACCCATCCTTCCGCCCACGTGTCCTTATTTTGGAACCTGTTATTTGCCATGCCTTGTGTTAGATGCTGGAATATCATGCTGAGTAGAATGGACAGGGTTCTTGTCCTCAAGACAGATCATCAAATAAATATATAATTATAAATTGTTACAGTTGTAACAAAAGAAAAGAGCAGTTGCTAGAAAAGGACAGAAGAGATGAAACCTCATTTAGTTTTGGGAAAATAAAAAAAAGGGCTTTCTGAAGAAGGGACACAAGGTGAGATAAGGAGACTGAGTAGGAGTAGGTCAGGCAAAGAGATAAGGACAGAAACCACTTGTGCACAGGACCCTAAGAGACCTCGCCTGGAGTGCGAGGAAGAGAAAGAGCCAGCACAGAGGACAAATCGTGAGCTCAAGAACAGAGTGGTACGAGATGAGGTCGAGAAGTGAGAGACCAGAACACATTGGAGTGTTACTGATTTGGGAATTTATCCTCAATTCGATAGGAATTTCAGGTTTTATTTAGAAAGATCACTAGCTGCAGTGTGGAGACTAGAATGGAAGAGGAAAAGAGAAGAAGCTGGGCAGTTCATGAGAAGCTCTAACAGTAGGTCAGGGGAAATGTAATAGTTTGGGACTAAGAGGGTGGCAGTGATGGTGGGGAAAAGTACACAGATTCAAGGTATATCAAATCCCCCATGCCTAACACACTGCCTGACATTAAGAGGAATTCAATAATGTATTGACTGAATGAGTAATTCCTCAAGCTGTTCCTGGTTCTAAAGCCCCCACTAATCCGTACGGATATTCTCCTCCAGTGCAGTATAACTCAGTGGGCATGGGAGACATAGGAAGATGCTGAGGAAATGATTACTAAATTCATAAACCAGCTGGCAAGATTTCACTTATAAAAACTTCTTGATGTATAAATGTATCTTGCTGAAACAAAATGCCTCTCCCATTCTGACAATGGAAAATTTTAGAAGCCAGATATCTTTCTGTTATGTGACTTTCTGAGCTTGTTAGAGAAATGTATTATTTAAAATAGCCTAGGGCTATGCTGCTAGAAACACAGTAAAACACTGAGGGTGTTGAAAGAAACCCTTTCATTTAAGGAAAAAAAAAAAGCAATGGGTTAGAAAGAGAAATCTATACTTGTTATTCTGGTTTCCTTCTTGAAAAACATAATTTCTGTCATTACTTCCTAAAACAGCATAATATTTTGTTTATCTATTAGCAACAAATCAAATACAGAGTTAATACATTTTCTTATAATTTGATAAATATGCAAGGTCAGGGCAGAGAATGTCTTCCCCATGTCATTTAATAATTTTGAACTTTTTAGCCATAAGATATTTGTTTTCCTAAAATTATAAAACTAAAACCATTTGGGAAATCCAAATGTTTGTCTATGTGATATGAGAACACAAGGGAATCTACGATTACAGTCAAATGAATTCAAAATCTAATCATTAATCCCAATATCCCTCAAAATGTTTCCTCATCCTTAATAAGGCCAAGAGCATTAGTAACAAAGAGCTAACAAAGAGGTAGTCAGTTTTACCTAGACATCAGGTGCTCTCCTGCTAGGACTAAGTTAAACTTAAGATACTTGTTGATTTCTCAATAATTAAAGCCTTCATTTTAATTAAATTAGCTAAAATTGTACATTGCCTAGGCAAGGGTGATAAGCTCACGTGTTTGGGGACATATATAAAGCTTAATTTTGCATAGAAAAAGAGGGCTCCTTGACAAAAGACTCTGTTCCAAGGTTCTGCCAAGTATCTTGTACAGCTGTGACCAAAAGGCCAACTACCAGCACCCCTACCACTGTTGTAGAGAGATCACGAGAATTACAGGGGCTGATGCTATTTCTACGTAAGGAGCTTTAAAAGCTTACAATTTAGCTTCTTCCATTTGGTAGGAAACCTCTTTTCCCTACACTGAAAATAAAGCTTTGCGTGGTCCTCTCTACCTTTAGAATGTCTTTGGAGTCTTAAAAATGCTTTTTCTGCAGAACCAGAAAGTGATACATAAAAGCATCAAATAATGCTTTGGTCCTCTTACTCTAAGAACTATTTTTTAAAATCTTGGTGACCATGGCAGATGAAAAAAAACAAAAAACAAAAGACCTTAGTAAGAAGTTTGCTGAAGTTTAAGGTTGAATAAAGCAAAAGTATAAGTTGTTCCTTCTATCCTTTATCCCCCAAGAAGACGAGATCGTATATCATTAGCTAAAATTCAATAATGATAATATAGGAACAAATTGTTAAAAAACTAATTCACATAAATAAAAATGAGTAATTTTAAATTTATGTTATTTCTATTTTATTAAGAAAGCTCTTTCTCTTAGTTTGCACTAGTAAAACCGGTACAAAATTATCTTCATTAGTAAGAAAAATAATTTATTCCAGTTGGAAAATAACAGCCTTAGCTTAGACTTTGGACAGCTATTAATTACAATGAAAAATTAGAAAACAGCATACCTTAAATGTAATGGTTTAAGACAAACACATTTGTTAATAAAATCTTAAACAATATTCAATTTTATGAGAGTACCCAAATCAAACGATATTTCTATTCTCAGTACCATCTCACACAACAGATAGCTCAACTGAGTAAAAGTTGTATATTTTCATTTTTGCTAAATAATCTGGTAAGATCAGTTAAAACAAATATATTGCAAGCTGTCTATATGTAAACAGGAAGGACCAATATTTTAAAATAAAGTAAATATTATTAAAATGAGATACCTCAACAATTTTAAACCAACCATAGTTTTGAATAGCAGACAGCACAAAACATAACATCACCTTTCATTTGAACCAAAATTTCAAACTTTTGAATTATATATTTCTTCAAGTTATAGGTCATTGTCAAAATAATAATCCTTTTATATTTTTAAACAGATGAAATTTGCTTTTCCCTAGGGAAATGCCAGACACTAGCGATATCTAAGAAATATGATTAAATTAGTTTAATTACTTCATGCTGACTTGATAAGTCACTGCTCTTTAATGTAAAAACTGCCACTTGCAATTAATGACTGTTGGTACTGTTTCAATTGATCAAATGTCTAATACACATAAAACATTCAAAGAATTTCTGTATATCTTACAGCAATTCAGTGGAGAAGTCTTGTCCCAGGGGTATGTAAATCTGAAGTACAAGAAACCTCTGGATCAGTCCAACTAGAATGAGAGGGGAAAAAATACATGTTCAAACTGTATGTGAATTTAAACAAATACAATCACACACCATCAACAAGCTGAAGCTTTTAGCATTTCAGTAATATATAGAACTATAATAGCACCACCATGAGTGACAACCTCATTATGAAAAGCAAAAACAAATGATGAAAATGAAATCGATGTAACAACAAATGTTGCCTTTTAAAGTCCCATCTGTGGCCTTGATAAAATGTTTATGAAAAATTTTTAAAATAATAGTTTTTTTATTTAGTATTTTTATTAGGTTGCAAAGAAAGTACACAAAGAATTGCATTCAACAGAGACACATAAAATTGAACTATAGATTCCCATCAAGGCGGCCATAAAAGCATGTGGCAATTATTTTTATTCACTGCCAGTTTTAACTGCATTAAACAACTTAATAAAAAACAATAGATCAAGAAAAACAATTCTAATTATGACAACTACAACTGAAGGTTTGATGAGCCATAGCTAGTTCAAATGGTTTTAAATGTGTCCACACTGAGATGAATAGAATACATTTTCATTTCTAATATATTTTGTTAATTTAACATACTTTTAATTAATCTAGTGTTCACTAAGAACTGATAGTTTTTATTTTCTATCACTAATTTCATCTTTTTTTTTTTGAGTTGGAGTCTCACTCTGTCACCCAGACTGGAGTGCAGTGGCCACTCCCGGCCACTGCAGCCTCGACTTGCTGGGCTCCGGCGATTCTTCCGCCTCAGCCTTCCAAGTAGCTGGAACTACAGGCGTGCGCTACCACGCCCGGCTATTTTTTTTGATTTATTGTAGAGATAAGGTCTCACCAAGTTGCCCAGGTGGGTCTCGAACCCACGGGCTCAGGCAATCCACTCACCTCAGACTCCCAAGGCGTGGGATTACAGGCTAAATTCATCTTTAAAATATCTGTAGAAAAACCAGTCCCTGTGGCACTTTTGATAGCTGAAGGTTACAATTGCTTTACAAGTCAATTGATTTTATATTAACTCTCTAGACCTGTTTACTTAATGCCTTTCCTCCTAGGTTTTGAACTTTTGCTTGATTTCTCAATTATGGTGCTCTTAACAGATGTTTTAGTACTATACTTCCTCAAACAAGCAACTTAGAATTTTTTTTCTTGCTGTGTAACTTCCAGTAAGAAATAGTGATGTGGATTTATCTGTGAACTTCTACAGAACTAATGGTATAGATCAACATGTGAATAAAAGACTTAAAAGAAGGCAAATGATCTAAAATTCATTCTATTTTCTATTATTCCAACATATCAAATGTAAGTATTTTAAAGTAACAACATATTTTTGAATAGTCTATCTAAAGACCTTTTGCTTTATAATTTCCATGATAAACTGTTTTGCAATACTTCTGAATAACTTAAACAGTTCCTATGTAAACCCAAATTTACTTTCTAAACATATTTGATCAAATATGCATAATATTTTGATGGCACCAACAAGGGTAACTTTTTCTTAAAAGTAATAAGCTTATAAGTGACTCCAGAGGGCCATCAGTAGAGAAGGCAATATATTAGAAATAGAATAATGTATCTTCCTCTAAGTATTTTATGTGTTTTGACAGTTGTTAAAGGAGAATATAAAATTATAGATTCAGATCTAAACTGAGAATAATGGAAAATTGTTTTGTTCTGTTTTGGAGGAGTTTCAGCTCATTTTTTTTTTTTTTGAGAAACTGTATTGCTGTTACTCAATAGACATCTATTCAATAAATGTTTAATTTCCTCAACAACAACAAAAAAGAAACAGGAGGTAATAGGTTCTAACCCTAGAAATTCTGTAGGAGTCTGATTCTACCATATTTATGGGAAAAGCCAATGAGACAACCAGAGCTGTGGTCTACAAAAGCAAAGTGAGATACCAACATGAGCCAACTTAAATAAACCACTGTCAATCAATCTCTCTTGCCTCTTTCACTGATTGCCCTACAGTATTTTTCCACTGCACAATGGCCTCTGTAAATAGAGCTGAGAAAGCACCGGGATAAATGAAATCGGTCTTTTAAAAAGGTCCCTAATTTATGTCACAAATCTCACTGAATCAGCACTGTTCTCTTCAAACACAAAGAGCTACACATATTAGGGCATTTTTGTATGCACATTTCTAGATATGAAAGATCCCTAACCTCAAAAAAAAATGCTTTGTAATTCAACTTTCTCACATATAGAAGCACTAGTTTCCAAACAGCTTCACTTCTAAGATTAAAAGAAGAATGACAATTCCACATGGTGATGATCTGACAGAAAAAAACGCACTTTAATAATGTCTGACACACACTGATCCTTTGTGCCAGAAATGCTAAATAAATTCTATAGTAATATTTTTTCCAGTGGCTTAGTATATTTAAACTGACTTCATATCTACATTATATGTAAAATCACTCTAAGTAATGTTGTATGTGGAACTATTGTTGGTAAAAAAAAAAAAAGTTCATCAAGAACATAAAATTCATAAAAATTTATTTTTTTTACTGAAATATACAGCTTTCTGCAGTCTTAAAATCTGTTGTCTGGCTGAAACAAACCACCTGTATTTTGCCTATTTTTTTCTCCCACTTCAACACACAAAACAGAAATTAATTATGCCTTTGTTATGGGCTATTTTATATTCCTTGAAGAAATTAGGAAACCTGTCTTAGTCCTTTCATCTGTAAAACCAGGCTAACAATTTAGATTTACAACTCACAGGATTATTTACGTGAATTAAATTAGCTCTATTATTCATCAAAAATTTGTTGAGTACCTACCATGTACAAGGCTCAGTGCTGAAGCTTTTGTAGTGAATAAGACATACATGGTCTCTGCCCTCTTAGAACTTATATTCTAGTCCATGAAGGAGAGGGTCATGGTGCTATAAAAGCATCTAACTCTGGGTCCTTGGGGATATGGGGAAGAGGACTTTCTTAAAGTAATACTAGAACTCAGCTGGGAAGAATATGCAGAATTGGCTGAGCACAGGGGATGGGTATAGGAGACAGGAACAAATATTGCAGGAAGAGGGAATATTCTATCCAGTAATGGAAAAGGACATAGTAGACTGGCTACACCTTAAAAAGGCTTAATGGGCTGGTAGGAGAGACAGAAGAAGAAATGCAGCAGGAGATAGGTCTGGCAAAGTAGTCAGCAACCCAATCATGTGGGGCCTTGAAGGCCATGTGAAATATACAGGTCATCCTAAAATCAATGGAAAGCTACCTACACAATCAGTCATTCATTCAACAAAGATATACTGAATGCCTACTATGTGCCAGGCACTGTTCTAGGTTAAAAAAAGACTAAAATTCTCTCTGCCAGGGGGCTTACTTTCTGATGATGGTGAGAAAATAAACAAACATAACAATTGCACAGAATGTTAAATGGTGACAAATACTATGGGAAAAAGGACAGTTGGATAAAAAGGATCAGAGTGAAGGAATACAAAGCACAGGTTATAACTTTAGTACAGGTCAGATACAGGCCTCATGGAGGTGACATTTTAATAAAGGCTTGAAGAAGAGAAGAAGATCTGTATAACTACTTGGGGGAATAAAGTTCTGGATAGATGGCAGTCTTTGAATAGGTGCTAAGGTGATAGGGCATTGCACTATGTTTCAAAACAGCAATGGAACCTGTATGGTTGGAGTAGAGTGAACAAAGAAAAGAATAATAGGTGATAGGTCAGAGGGTTTAAGAGGGCACCAGATACTGCACAGTCCTATAGATTTTTGGTTTTACTCTGAGAGATGGAGTATTTTCAGTAGACAAGTAATATGATTTACATGTTACTAACAATGTAAAAGTATTACGCTGGCTGCTAATTTGACAACAGACTGTAGAGAGGTCAAGTCAGAAACAGAGAGGGCAATTAGAAGACTGCTGCAATAATTCAAGTAAGCGATCATGGTGGCTGAGACCAGGGTAATAGCACTGGAGGTACCAATAAGTGTTAAGGTTCTCAGTATGTTCTAAACATAATGCCAACAAGATCTTCCTGATGGATTGAAGAAAAGAAAGAAAAACCAAGGCTGATTTTAAAGTTTTTGTTCTGAGCAACTGAAAAGATAAGTTGCTAACAACTAAAATGGGGAAGGAGGAGGAATTCAAGAAATAAAGACCAGAAGTTAGAGACTCTGAGCATATTGTATTTAAGTCACCCAAGTAGAAATGTCAAATAAGTAACTTGATATACAAGTTTGGAGTTTCAGAGAGAAGTCTGAGCTGGAAATGTAAGTCAGAGTAAGACACAGATGGTATTTAAATCCAAGAGCCAGAAGCCAATAACCAAGGGAGAGAATGCAGATACAAGATCAAAGACAGAGTCCAGGAGCGCTGCAACATTAAGTTGGATTGAGGAAAGAGAAAGAACCACCAAAGGAGACTACGAAAGAATAGTGAGTAGGAAGAAAACAAGGAGTGCGGAAATCCTGTATATGAGTGAAAAAAGTAGAACAAGGAGGTGTCAACTTTCTCAAATGCTGCGAATACGTGAAGTAAGATGAGGGCTGAGAACCATCCATCAAATTCAGGAATACAGAGGTCACTAGTGACTTTGACAAGAGTATTATCAGTAGAGTGGGAGGTCACAGCCACTGAAGGGTTTTTAAACAGAGGAAGTCACGATAAGATTTATTTTAAAAAGAATACTGAAGTAGAGGCATGAGGAGGCCTGGTGGGAAAATCATAAAGATGAACTCATCCTCCAAAGCAGCTGAAATGTAGAACAAGGCCTCAGAGATGCTGATCCCCATGACACACCATTTGATTCAGATGCTATGCAGAGAAAACAGTGGTTTCAAACATGAACACCAAACAGAAAGTCCTGGAGAACACCCTCCAAATGATAAATGCTTACGTGTGACAGAAGCTGCTTCTCATATGGGCAACTCTATATAACATGTTCCAGGGTGAAGAGTAGGAGGGATTTATTATTTAGCTAGTGAAGGATTTACTCAAGTCTCATTATCAAGGTCAGCAGCAGGTTACAAGTAAAAATTATAATCCAAATTGTCATAGTTTCTTAGTGTGGCAATTGAACAAACTTACTGAACACCAACTATGTGCCAGCACTACTAAGTTAGGGGTCAAAGATGATTCAAAATCCCTACCTTGAAAAAGTATACAATCTGATAATAGGTATCACATTTTCCTTTATTTGATAAGGGCTGAGTGAAAAAAAAAACTGTGATGTATTTAGAGATCCTCAAATATATGTTAATTCAGAAATACTACTATTTAAAATGAAAAGTTAATTTATTTCTGAGTAGTACCTAATGCAGCTGGCAACACATATGGGGTATCTAATGTCAAGTTTGCATATATAAAGTGGATGCTTACTCTTAAAATAGAAATACATAATGGTAATTGAATTTAGAAATGTTAATTGAAAGCCAATTATCTGTTCAAGACAGGCCATTTACTTTAAATTTAACCATACCGACTTTACACAGGTCATTTTATACAAATAAAAATAACCATAAATTTACGTTATCAAAAATTCCAAATAATCTTAAAGGCATCAGTGCAGGGAGGGCTATATAAACTGCTTCATTTGTTACAGTGTTGCATGTGCTACAGAGAAGCCAGATTAATTTTTAATTGCAAGGCATTGTACAAAAAATACATTAAAATACTCTTATAACACATTAAAGTAAATATAACACATTAAACTTGGTTTGCTTCTAAAAAAAAAAAAAAACAACAAAAAAACCCCAAACACTTAATATAAGAATAGAAAAGAGGAACTTGTATTTAATCATTTAGCCTTTGGTAGAAGAAGAATCTTTCTCGGAGTCAAATGAGAAATGTGATTGATGTACAAAGATACTGAGGACACTCAAAAGAAGTACAGGTGAGTTTTATAGTCCAACAATAGGAAACAACAACAACAACAAAAGAACTAACATCGACTTAGAACAAAGTCATGTTCCTACAAATCAAATATATCTACCTTACAAAGTCAGCATTTTAAAAAGATGAATTGTGTTTTGTAAGAAGAAACTAGTTTCAGACATGTTTCCCTGGCTTATCTTAGTTTGCCTAATTTATAAGTATAAATGTATGTGTAAACGAAAAAACACACACACAGAGAAGATATGAGGAAATCATGATTTTAAAATGGTAGTAAATAAAATTATTTTAACAACAATTTCTCTTTTCTTCTTCTCTTTGAGATATAGTCTTTATTTTAGCTTAGAAAGACACACTGGTAAACCACTTTAAAATAAGTCATCTATCTATAACTTCTATAGCTTAGTTTAAGTCTTAGAAATTTAAAATATCTGGTCTCAGACCACAAACCCAAATATCAAGGTATTGGTAGAGAGAATAAATAGAAATGAGGAAAGACAAGAGGAAAGAATAAAGAAAAAAAAAAGAAATTTAAAATATGCAGGTAGTAGCTTGGAATGGTATATAACACCAAGTCTACATAAATTTAGAAAACTTAATTGAAATTAGAGAATCAGGTAACAAGTCTTTTCATAATGTCAAGTACATAATAGGTATTCAATAAATGTTCTTAATGAAGAAAGGAATAAGTAAATGATAAACATAAAAAAGAACTGCCTACTTATATTTGATAAATCACTTGAAATTTATGTAAAACATAGGACACAGTTAAAGAAAAATCTGATTAATCATTTTGATAAATCATATTCCTTAAATCACATCAGTTTACTCAAAGTCTAATCTAGTGGCAGAGCCTTAAATTTTAACCCTATCTTTGCCAATAACTGGGTTTCTGATCATAAATTTAGGTGATCTCTCAGAGTTTCGTCTTCTTTAAAATGCTGCCTGATTTTCTAAAGTAAATAAGAAATGAAATCTAGACTTGGGCTCTTATTAAATAAGAACTGAAATCTAGACTTGGGCTCTTGTTAAATCACATATTCATAGGTATACTTATTAGATATTAATATTCTTAAAAGTATATGAGTTGATAGATCACTAAAAAATGCCTTATTGGCTGGGTGTGGTGACTTATGCTTGTAATCCCAGCTCTTTGGGAGGCCAAGGTGTGAGAATCGCTTGAGCCTAGGAGTTCAAAACCAGCATGGACAACATAGCAAGACTCCTTCTCTACAAAAAAGAAAAAAAAAGTAACTGAATGTGGCAGTGTGTGTCTGTACTCCTAGCTACCTGGAAGGCTGAAACAGGAGGATCATTTGAGCCCAGGAGTTTGAGGGCGCAGTGAGCTATGACTATGCCACTGGACTTCAACCAAGGTGACAGAATGAGACCCTGTCTCTATTAAAGATAATAATAATAATAATGATGGCTTATATAGTATTTTTAATACTTTTTTCCTCAATTAATTTCCTGTAATTTAAGAACTCATGAGTTTATTTCAAAGTGTTAGCGATCTGATGTCTTGATGAGGAACCAACCTCAGTTTGTTCATTTATAAAAAACCTAGTGTGAGGATTAAAAGTTAATAAATGCAAAATGCTTAGGAAGTCCCTGGCTTACAATAAGTGCTCAATAAATACTATTATTCTTAATATAATTAATGGCTACTAAATTTTATTAAAAATACTTCCAGATTTCTAAAAGACAGTGAGGTAAAATATATTTTTGATTAGGCCTCAAATAGTGCCTGGTATACCCTGCTAAATTAAAAAAAAAAAAAATCAGATCACTTACCTCAACAGATGCTAGTAGAAGTCATACTAATAGTTCTGCTCATGAGACATAAAATCCTAACTTTGAGTATCAACTACTAAGCTTCAGTATTAAAAATCTTACTTACGAATCTGCTTATTCTCCTTCGGTAATTGAATTTTGTTTGTTTGGCTGCTGCCTTCCAGGACAAACACAAAACTTTTAACTTCTTTATCAAACTCCTATAGAACAAAATGAAAACAGTAGTAATAAAAGCATATTTTATTTGGCTTTTACTATAAAATTGGAACTGTAAAACTACAAGAAAAAGTCCCACACTAAAATGACTTAAAAGTAGGCTCAGGCCTTGATACTTCCATCCTGAGACTTGCAGGGAACTGGAAGATAGAGGTATGATGAATGAACAAGGAACAAGAGCATTCAGGGTCTTGACCAGAAACTGATTGAAGTTATGAACTAAGGATTTTGGGCTGGAGAGAATAGTGAAGACAAAATAAATAAATAAATAAATAAAACTAAACACAGGGGAAAAGCAGAATGGTCAACGGCCTAAAGGCCCAAATTAGACTGAAGAACAAACATTGTGGGAGTAACTGAGCAAGTGACCTTAAGAATCAAAGACTGGGGTCAGAGAGGGACATCTCAATGTCTCAGTAATTTCAGAGGTTCCACAGTTTGTAGTAATATGGACCAGGGTAAGACAGTAGAAAAGAATGCTGAAGCAGACTGGAAGAGGTCGTTAAAGATGAAGAAATAAAAAACCTGAGAAATGCAGCCTCACAGATACCAAAGTAACCTAAAATGATAGGGTAGGAGTGAAGTTCAGAGAAAGGTTATGAGTGCTGAAGTCTTAAATAGTTGAGAAGTGACGCCTAGAAGGCTGCAGTCAACAATGTCATGAAAGGGTTCTGGAGTGCAAGAATATGAAAAACAGTTCTGAAATCTGATCAACATCTTTTTCTATATCCTTCACTCACGTTTCTTTTCAGGATTTATGTGTCTCTAATTTCTAATACTTACTTTCCAAATCACAGATGGACTGCCAAAGATCTTCCATTTTGCTCCAGGATTTTTTCCCTGAGCACTAAAGATTTCAACAAATGCACCTCCCTAAAAAATAAAAACAAAATATTTAAATTAAAGCAAAAGGCAATGCTAAGGAGGAAATATTATCCACCACATAGTCTATAACCGGTGTTCCAGGCATCTGTCTGTTAAGTAGATCTAAGATGAAACATTATCCCTACATTACTCCTTCTTTATACCTTAGCTATATTTAAACCACAACCATTCTGACTTGGGTCACTTCGGATTAATGGTTTAAGGAATTTATTTTTATAGCATGATAACATTAAATAAATTGTGCCATACAAAATTTATATTCTCTCAGTGTGGGGCTCATTTACTTGTTATGTACAGATCATGTTTGGCAGACTGTTTTGCAGCCCAGACTAAAAGATTTCAACTCAATTCTTACACCAGGCTAATACATTCTGACAGTTATCTCTGAATACAAGCTTTCGAATCACACTGATCGGGGCTCTAACACTGGCTTTTTAACTATCTGACCTTGGACTTACTTAACTTCTTGATTTTCCATCTGTAAAATGGGTTGCTGGAATGTATAGGATAGTAAACATTAATCATCAGGCACAACACTCAGCTCACAGCAAGGACTCAAAATTACTTTTTTAAAGGAGAAATTAAATAGTTTACTACTTGTCATAAAAAGGCCCGGGGGTTCTTATTTTGAGCATTCCTACAAGATCTTTTTATGTATTTAATATAAGTTAATTTGGAGATCTATAAAATATGTACAAGAAAAATAGAGAATTATGTCTATAGATGGGTCACTTGTTCTCCACTGTAAACCTGAGAACATGGGAGGATACACTTATATAAAAACATTGAAGTTATTAACTGAATCTCCATAAGCTTTAGTTATTTTAAAAGAAGGAATTAAGATAATTAATCTCTGAGGAAAAATTTATTGCAAAAAATGAGAGTCTGAAATGAAGACTAAATATTGTTTGAATTTTAAACAACACACGAACAAATCAGTCTGATTTTTGTATGGAATTTTCAGCTTTTAATTTTTCTTAATAATATAAAGATATTTTTGCTTCTGAGCTTTAACACACCATCACTTGAAATTAAGACATTTAATTTCTTCTTCCTTGAGGAGTATTATGTGTAAACTGTACATGGTATAGAATTACTATAGCTTCTGAGAGCAGGTCATATTTCACTATGAATTTTAAGTCTGAGACAGCTGGGCTTTTTTTGAAGAAAAGAATCCTTATACTTAGTGAGCTAGCAAACTTTTTCTCCCCTGCTTCTTTTTCTTTCCCATGTTTTCCAAGTTTTCTGCATTGGGCATTAAAAAAAAAATACATATCTATAATAAGATACTTCACCTATATGAAGTGAGACAAACTGTCTAAAACTGTTCTAAGCCATTTAATGGTATCAAATGGGATAGAAGAAAAACAACTGCCGAATAATAGGAAGACACTCATATAGAGGCAGGTAGCTTGGGTGAAAAGGCAGAAAGCAACAAAGAGGTGGAGACCAGTGGAGGGCTGTTTAGATACAGTAGAAAAAGTTCATCAGAAAAGCAGGATTAGGATGGTAAACAAACTGCAAACAGGGAGTGTAAATTCAAGCAGAAGTGAGGAGGGGAGAGCAAAAGACTAGGGCCAAGAAGAGTCTCGAAAGGGAGATGTCTAGGGAGATGAGGAACGCAGACACTGCTCAACGTGACTAAGACCCAGAAGCGGTGCTTCTCCAAGTGTGATCCTTGGACTGTTTGCATCGGAATCTCTGGGGTGGGGTGGGGGTGGTGGGGTGGTGGTACGTTGCTTAAAAGGCGTATCAACTGATCCCATCTAGAGATTCTGATTCACTAGATCTCCGCTGAGGGTCAGGAAAACTGCATTTTTACAAGTATTCCAAGTGATCCTGATGTACCCCAATGCCTGAGATTCACTGACTCCCATTTGGGAAAAAGGAAACAGCGCATAGCCACGGGGCTTATTTCCATTCATAGTTTACCCCCCATTCATGCATTCACTGATTCACTCCTCTAAGAAGCTTCTGAGATACCAGTGTGCATCAATTGCGAGTACTCCAGGAACCTGCTAAAACTCAAGATTTCTGGGCTCTTCCCTCAAGATTCTGATTCAGGACGTCTGAGTGGGGTTTAAGATCTCCATTTTAATCAGAATCACACACAATATACACCATGAGAAGCACTGCATTGGAGAGTGAACAAATGCCTTGACCTTGGTATCTTCTTTTTTTCTTTTTCTAGTCAAGACCACTCATCAACTAATTCCTTCTTACCTCGTAAAAGACCTTATTACTTGGGGGGGGGGGGGGCGGCGCTTTATCCTCACCCCAATCATAGGCTACCTCAGCGAAGAGGAGAAAGTCATAGACAGGTTGGAGAACGTTTCGGGTTACCTGGTACTCATTTTTGAACATTCCCGCAGGGGGCCCAGGGCTTGCGGGGCACAGAGCTCAGGGCTTCCAGCGAGTGGCGTGACCCTGACGGCTGGAGATCGGCAGGCGGGAACCCAGGGGCCCGACGGACGAGAAAGGGCTTGGTGCTTGGCCCGGACTTGGGCAGGCTCTTCTCAGCCCCTCCGGCCCCTAGTCAGCTCCATCTCGAGCCCTCGACCCGCACCATCGCGGCCCCAGTCTCCGGCCTGCCTGAGTCTGATCAAGACACTGCTGCCCGGGCTGACTCGGGGCCGTCCCTGGGGAGGTTTGTGTGCGTAACCTACGTGACGGGGAAACCAGCCGCAGAGCCACACACAACCGTTCGCCTGCCTAGCAGAGGCCGGCGTACTCCTGCCGCCGCCCCGCCCCCGAACCTTTCGGAAAAGGGCGGGGCCGAACGCGCCACCGTTCCGGCTGCGTCCATTGGTTCCCACCAGGCGCCTGCGCATTGCGCTGTCAAACCTCCTCGCCGAGAGCACGTGAGGCTACGCGGTGACGTAACGTTGCCAGGCAACCGCGGGACTCTTGGAGAAAGGGTGCACAACTCAGACTGTGATCAGGTTTCTCCTCAGGCTGTGACTTCTGTCGGTAAAAAGCCTAAACTTAGCTTGGTTTAAGAGCCAAAGAGCTCTTCTAGAGTACCTGTCACGTCGGCTTGGACTTTCCTTGTGGTAAACATTAATTGGTAGGTTGTTGAAGGATATTGGAGTCATGGATTCATGGAACCTTCATGCGGCTTTTTTTAAAAGGTTCCCAGACATGGATTCGTTGAAGTATTAGTAGGAACTGCTGGACCATTTCGTTTTGTTTGAAGACCCTAGGAAATGGGAGTGTTACTCAAGATCACTGCACACGTTCAACAGCCAAAGTTTTTTGCTCAAAACAGTAACTTACTAATGTAGAAACTGAATAACTGAGTAGCTACACCTAAGAGAGACTAGCACTCTCTTAAGTGTAGCTACTCAGTTATTCAGTTTCTAGATTAGTACCACTTCTTATGTGAAAGGTTTTTGGCTAACAAAGTTAAATAGCTTGTTCAAAGTCATATGGCTCGTAAATGGTGTCATTGGTAGGGAACTCTTGTCTGATGCTGTACTCATGGCTAGATTGATGGCATAGGTTAATAATAATCATGTACGACGCATGGAGTCCCTACTATAGGCCAAATGGTTCACAGGTTCACAACCCTGTGAGGTAAGGGTTAGTCTCCTTTCAGTTGAGAATATTGAGATTCAGAGTTGATTAGAAACGTATTCAAGAATGCAATGTTGAGTTTTAGTGATGGCAGAGTCTAGAGTCTGGTATTCTACTTCTCCCAAAAACTTCAAATATTTATTGTCTTTACCATGTACCAACCACTGTGGATCATGTAATGGATGCAAACTATATATTTACCAGGGCTGAGAAGAACACATAAGAAACAAACCCTCTTGAACATGCTAAACCTAATAATATATGTGTACAAGATAGGGGTGGGGCCATGGCACAACTGTAAACTGCAGTACAATGTTCAGAATCCAGACTTCAGACTTCTAGAGCCTAGACCTAGTTCAACAAGTTTTTTACAAGACTTTGTGCTGGAGGCTTTGGGAATCATGATCAATAGACATGGTCTCTTTTAAATGAATAAATGTCTGTGAGTGGTAAATAAGGAACAAACACTCATATTAGCCAGAATAGGAAAATGTTTGATCTTTTTTTTATTTGTATAATGTTCATGTTTTGTCATTGTTCATATATGATTGTAGAGTGGTCTTATTTTTGTTCTTCATCCATCATGGTCACAGAGTGACCTTGTCTGATGTTGATAATCTGTGAAATTGTTCATGTTCAGCAACAATACACCAAGACCTAACTATGAATGCCAGGAAAGCTCCCAGATGTCTCTTTTATACTGGTAAATGTTAGCTAAAGCAGGCACATTCTACTTTCAGCCACTTCAAATATGGCAGGTATTCACTGGCAATAGTGGTAACAGTAGCAACTAAGTAGAACCCTTCATAAAAATGTTGAGTCTGAGAAGAAAAAATACAGGCAAGTAATCACTTCTAAAGATTCCTGGATACCTAGTATCCCCCCTAAATAACCTGGGAATACACAGGCATCCAATAACATTGAATTTCCTATTCCTAAGCATGTGGGGACTTAAAGAACCTAGACTTGAATATTAAGAGTTAATGTAAAACGTGGGAAAATGAAAAGGACCTATGATATTTGGAGTGTACATATGTGCATCAAATCAATAAGGATTAGAGGACTTTTATTCCATATTAATTTATTCACATATAGTGAGAATTTTTAAAAAATATTCTTTCTTTACAAATCACCATATTATGACACTACAGTGGGCATCTTTTGACTGCACAACATCCATTCTCCTTCCTTGTAAGCGGACTCAGAGTTTCCTTTGGGAAACAATCTTTTCGCATTCCTAGTCATATGGTTGTGTGGTATCCTAACCCCAGCTAATCAGTATATCTCATCTCTTTGGTTGCAGTGACTGGTTTAAGAATGGGCACTTGACCAGGCGTAGCGGCTCAGCCCGTAATCCCAACACTTTGGGAGGCTAAGGTGAGAGGATTGCCTGAGCCTGGGGGTTTGAGACCAGCCTGGGCAACTTGGTGAGACCTTGTCTCTACAGTAAATCACAAAAACTAGCTGGGTGTGGTGGCGTGCATCTGTAGTTCCAGCTACCTGGAAGACTGAGGTGGAAGGATCTCCTGAGCCCAGCTGGTTGGGGCTGCAGTGGCAGTGAGCTGGTGGCTGTGAGCATGCCACTGCCCTCCAGCATGAGCGACAAGAGTGAGACTCCAACTCAAAAGAAAAAGAATAGGCACTTAATCCAGCCTTATGCATATTTATCTGACCACAGTGGTTAGTTCATAGATAGGTATATGACCCAAACTGATCCAAAAGAAGGTGTACTTCAGGACTTTGGCCTAAAACATTCTATTTGGTGATATAAGAATGTGAGATTGAGCCAGTCACAGTGGTTTATGCCTGTAGTCCCAGCACTTTGAGAGGCTGAGGCAGGAGGATTGCTTGAGCTCAGGAGTTCGAGACAAGTCTAGGCAACATAGCAAGACATTGTCTCTACAAAAAAAAAAAAAATTAGCCAGTCATGGTGTCACATGTCTGTAGTCCCAGCTACTTGGGAGACTGACGGGGAAGGATCGCCTGAGCCCAGAAAGTTGAGGCTGCAATAAGCCATGATTGTGCCACTGCACTCTAGCCTGGGTGACAGAATAAGACCCGAGTTAAAAAAAAAAAAAAAAAAAAGAATGTGAGATTAGGAATATTGTAGTTATTTTGTGACCTTAAGGAGAGCCAGCCTAGGGCCAGAGCAAACCTAGAAAAAGCAGCGTGGTGAAAAAAATGCTGACAATGTTTTTTACCTCTAGATACAGCTAGACTTACTCTAGGTTGTTAAAAAATCATCGCCAAATCCAATGTTATGACATTTCCCCCTTGTTTTTTTCTTCTAAGAGTTTCATAGTTTTAGGTCTATGTTTATCTTTCATTCACTTTGAGTTAATTTATGTATATAAATTTTAAAATAAAGGGTCCATTTTCATTCTTTTTATGAGGAAATTCAGTTTTCTGCAGACTTTTTAAAAAAAATTACCAGTCAATACTAAGTGGTTTTAGGTAGAGATAATTACCTAAGAAAAACTTGCTACTTAGATCTAACTTTTCTGAAGAAACGTGAAAATTTATGTCATTTAGGAACAATAAAACATAATTTGGTGGTATATCAATAAATACCATCCAATATCCTTTTACATTAATATACCACCAAAATACTTTCATAAAATATGAACATTTATGTCATGTAAAAACATAGTATTAAATAACCATTCAATTTAATTTTTTCAAATATGCATTTTGCAATATATTCACTTTCTAAACCTAAGTGCTTGCTATGTAAAACTACTTTATTTAGGAAAGTATTTATGTCTAAATATCCAACTACTAGAACAGTTTTTGTTTATTTATTTATTTTTTCCCTGAGAAAAATTTTCAAGTAGTAGCATGTGTATGCATGACTTTTGAAGTACTGGGTCATCAAAAAGGTACAGGCAAGAAATAGTCATCATAGAGTCTCACAGACAGGGAAAGAAAAAACTCATTTGAGGAGAAAAATCCAAAAACAGTAAAATCCTCACAAACTTTCCTCATTTTACACCTTCTGAAAAGAAAAGACATTAACACTCTCAAATCAACAGTCAAATGAAATGACTTGGGTATCTAACATTTTTTTAATAATAACTTGCTTAAAACCTTAACGTAGGCATAGTTTCAAAATAATCCTATAAATTTAGGATTATTATCATTCATAAAGCTATTCCATAGTGTGGAAAAACTAACCCTTTAAGTATTAAATATTTCTAGGTTATTGTGCATCAGAAATAATTGTAATCATCAAACCAATATATTTTGTTTGTCCAACTGGCCAAATAATTTGATTATGAACTGTAACCAAAATATGAGCTACAACTATATTGTGGTAAGTACAGGCATTCTTAGTTCAAAAGAATACTATTTCTTTTCAAATTGATTATCATACTTTCCCAACTTGAATGACTACAGTGGCATACAAAAACTCTGCTACCTTTTAAAAACTGTTTCTAGTCTATTCTAGTTTAAACACTATCCAATATCCTTTTTATATTAATATACCACCAAATTACTTTCTGTTGCAAATTACTTTCTTTGCAGAACAAAGACAAGCACTTTAAAGCTTGTAAAGTGACTAATTCTTAATGTTGTCAAATTAAGTTAAGCAATTTAACACAATTACCAAATGTACTGACTTCTTTAAAAATTATAGCAATTAAAGAAATTGTTTCACTGTCTTTTATAATGAACATAAATAACCTGGTTTAAGCCAAGTTGTTTGGGCAGGCTGGCTCTCCGCCCCCCCCCCCACCTTTCCCTTTTTAAAATTTCTCCAGAATTCTGATAGACAATCCTTAAAGTCATAGTAAAATCCAAGTTTTTGTTTATATTTATTCTATTGAACATGAGTATTTACTATTTAAAATTGGATCTTCTCCTTTCTCTGATTTTGAGTTCATATTTTAAAAGTACTGTGTATTTTTATTTTACTTTATAGCCATCATTGTCAATGTTAAGGGTAGTTCTCACCATAAGCAAAACAACATTGGTCTGAGTTGGGCAGCTTTCAGGTTTGCCCATTGCCTGGACAGGCCCTATACTACACTTGCTTATGAAAATCCAACTATAAGTCTCCCGAACTTGTTAGAAGTTAGGAGGGTTAAGAGATGATGTTTGATCTTGGACTATTACTTTCTCTTTAGGGAGTGAGAGCATTGAAATAAATGACACTGTTTCCTTCTAGCCTTGAATTGAAT